AAATCGCATTGAACAAAGCAAATTAAACAATTTTGTATTTTGTCTGTATTTTACGGTTTTTTTTGTTACAGACTGTAACATACGTATATATAATTTCAGACGCATACCAGATCCATTCTATATAAAGTTAATTCTATTTATGTAAAATTCCGGACCGGATACAATCACAATTGCATTCACATCCCTTATATATTCAATACAGATTACTTATACTACACTGAATAACTAGTCTACCCTATGCCTTCTACGATTGGCCACTGCTCGTCTTTCTTAAGTTGCTTTTGACACGATACTTGCTGCTTTTACCACGAGATGTATTTGATTTGGTCAAATGATTCGGATTGTTTATGCTTCTAGCTTCAGAAAGTTCTTGCAAAGTTGTTTCCTTGCCAGATCCTATTAGGAAATATAAAATTATTAGCACTTATTCAAATAAAAACATCAAGATCTTCTTTTACTTACGAAGCAAACGCTCAACGTTGACCTGTGATGAGCTGGAAACAGATGTTTGTAAGATAGTATCATTGCGAGATCTTTTCAATTTGGACTTGACTGTATCAATTTGGTGAATTTCTTCATCACTAGAGATTATATGATCTTTAAGTTTCTGTTTTTGTGATTCCTTTTGCTTGTGAGACGTAATTATAAGATTTTCTTTTTTTTCGATCAGTGTCAAAGGTACAATTGGTAGTGTACTAGAAATAAAGTAATCACCATATTAATAATATAAGATTAATAACAAATTTATTAAAATCGAAAAATGATAATATTTACTTCAAAGTTTTTTTATTATTTTTTCTGGACTTATAAGGTGACTTTGATCCAGATGGTATTCCTAATAACATATCTTAGAAATAAGATATTTTAAGTATAATAAAATATATTATAAAATAGACTAAAATACATACCTATTCTTGTATTATATATATTTTCTTCCATATCAGAATTATCATCAGTAAACTCTTGATTTTCATTATCAATTTTTTCATAATCACTTTGAAATTCATTATTATTATCTGAAATTATTTCTTCATTATGACTTGAAATCTGATTGAAAACTTCTTCTTGTTCCTTTCTATTTTGTTTAGATTTGATTATTTGACCTTCAAGTTCTGCTTGAAAAGCTCGTCAAGTTCTTGCATAATTTATTTTTTTTCACAATTGATTTTATCATCCACTATAATAAAATAATAAATTATAAACTTCTTTAATAGTAAAATAATTTTATTTTTGATAACTTACCTCTATTATTAATAGATTGATGAAGTGCTTCATGATATACCCAATTAGATTTCATATGAGAAAATTCTTTGAACTTTATAGCTGCTTCATTAAATCATGCATCTTGAATATTTTGTGAAATTTTGTTAATACTTCATTTTAAACAATATTCATTAGTTTTCTATAGGTTTCGAAGAAATTTCTATTTAAATAATAAAAAACAAATATTAGATACTCATAATATTTAAAATAATAAAAATAAATATTTACTTTAAGTCTTTTGACACTTTGTTCTGAAATATTTGTAATAAGTGCAATTGGAATATTAGAAAGACATTTTCCTGTAATAGGATACTTAGTAGACTGTTGATGTCTTTGACAAACTATATCATATTGATTTTTTAGCTATAGCAAAAGATTTTTGTCATTAAGATCTTGTGAAGGAGCAGGAAATAATGAAAAAAGACTAGTAAAAGAAAGAGAACCATTTTCAATATCATTGTTTTCAAAAGATATTTTGTATAGTATAATATAAGTCCAAAATTTGACAATTATTTATAGATAAGATATCAAATCAAAACAAAATAAATACGTAAAATTATAATTGATCTGATTAAATATTTTGTATTATCTAATTCTTATTGGTTTGATTTGAAACCATAAAATAGTTTTTTATTAATAACTTTTATTTTTACTAAGAAACTTGTATTTGTATCTTAAGTATAATTATACAGAATATAATTATGTATATATTCACAAATTTTTGTTTAATTTTAATTAATATTAAATGAGAAATAACAATTTTTATACTGATTTAAAATATTTCAGGTTGAATTTGACTTCAACTCGATCTGGTGAAAGTATTAATAAAAATAGCTAGCTAATTCTAATTATAGTAAAAGATTTATAATACTAGTATTAGAATAGTAACATAAAAATCGCAAATTCAAAAATAATTGAAAAATATAAAAATTCCAAAAATATTCATATAATAATAAAATCCACTAATATTATTTTATTTTTCATTATTTCACTATTTATTATTTAACTTCTTATTTTTCACTTTTTATTTTTTACTTTTCAGAAATTTCACTTTTTATTTTTCATTTTTTAGAAATTTCACTTTTTATTTTTCACTTTTTAGAAATTTCACTTTTTATTTTTCACTTTTATATATATTATTTCACTT